GACCGAGCTGATGTTGCTCGCCAAGAAGGAAGTCGCGGAGCGTACTTTGCTCGCCTTCCTTGGAGTTCCTTGCCGAGCTGATGTTGCTCGTCAAGAAGGAAGTCGCGGAGCAGACCTTGCTCGCCTTCCTTAGAGTTCCTTGCCGAGCTGATGTTGCTCGCCAAGAAGGAAGTCGCGGAGCGGACCTTGCTCGCCGACCTTGGAAGTTCTTTTCCGAGCTGATGTTGCTCGCCAAAAAGGAAGTCATGGAGCGGACCTTGCTCGCCTTCCTTGGAGTTCCTTGACCGAGCTGATGTTGCTCACCAAGAAGGAAGTCGCGGAGCGGACCTTGCTCGCCTTCCTTGGAGTTCCTTGCCAAGCTGATGTTGCTCGCCAAGAAGGAAGTCGCGGAGCGGACCTTGCTCGCCTTCTTTGGAGTTTCTTGGCCGAGCTGATCTTGCTCGCCAAGAAGTAAGTCATGGAGCGGACCTCGCTTGCCTTATTAGTGCGGTCACCGTCTTGCAGACTAAGAACCGAGGAAGAGTTACCCCGGTCAGATAGGTAATCCCAGTCACGCTTGCGTGGACTGAATTAAGGGGCAATTGAGAGGGAGATTTATGATCTGGATTGGGCTGTGATAATGGCCGGATAGATTTGGGCCGGACAAGATTGGGCCGAGGTAGCGCGGTCCTATGCTGAAAGGATTTGCTCGGTTAAGGCAAGGCGTGGTTGGACCGAGCTACATAGCTGTATGGTATAGAGGCCAGTCAAGTGAGATGTCCGGCGCCAGGAAAGGCGTGGTTGGACCGGGGTTTATAAGTTAGCCCGGCAGGAAGGTCGACGGCAAACCAGCATGAGCTGTCCCGAGCTCGGCTATGCCGGGATGCAGCCGAGCTCGGTCCTCATTAAGCGTGTCGAGCGGATCGCTCTGGCCAGTTGCATAGCACGGCCATTGATAGCCGAGAAGATGCAGCCCGGCTGCCGAGCTCCCAGTAGAGTGGGCTGGCAGTTTGGTTAGGTGGTGTTCAGCAAGATTTGTGCTGACAGATGGGATAGCAGCACCACGTGTCGAGAGACAGATGGGAGTAGATTTGGGATGCAGAAGGTATATAAGCGAGTCTGCGCCCCCCATGCTGAACGAATGAACATTTGGTGAGACATACACTAAACACTCAACACTCTCCCTTCTCTCTATCTATCCCCTGTGTGTGTGTTCTAACTTAATCGTCGGAGGGGTTTTTCGGCCACACACCGCCGGGTAGCTCACTGTCATTGTGTACGCAGGTAATCGGACAGAGACGGAGCTCGGAAGAAAGGAGTACGGGCTTGTCGGAATATTTGCTCCCCGTACAGTCTCAATGATATAAAAATGTTTAATATTAATATTAACAATTAGTATCAATTAATTTTTTTTTATTTATCAATTAATATTAATATTAATATTTTATTTTCTCAATTAATGGCTTAATTACCATAAATTAATAATAGTATCAATTAGTATAATTTTTTTCATTTTTTCATTATAAATGAATTAGATGTCAATTAATGGCTTAATTACCATAAATTAATACTAAAATTAATAATAGTATCAATTAGTATATTTTTTTTTTCCATTTTTTCATTATAAATGAATTAGGTGTCAATTAATGGCTTAATTGTCATAAATTAATACTAAAATTAATAATAGTATCAATTAGTGTATTTTTTTAAAAAATTTTCATTACAAATTAATTAGTGACAATTAATGACTTAATTAACATCAATTAATACTAAAATTATTAATAGTATCAATTAGTATAAAATTATTTTATTTTTTCATTATAAATTAAGTAGTTGTCAATTAATGGCTTAATTAACATCAATTATTATTTTTTATTCATTAATTATTATTTTTTTTTATCAAAAAAACATAGAAAACCTCCCCTCAAAAAAAAAAAATAAAATAAAAATGATCCAAAAAACCTTAGATCCAGAAAACCCTAACGTCGGCGACAACAAGAGTAAAGAAAGAGAGCTATTGAGAGAGCAACACCATTATCATCGGAGGCTGCCCATCTCTTCTCCATCGGAGGTTGCCCTTCTCTTCAATTTATTTTCAATTTTTTTTCTAGGGTTTGAAAACCCTAGCTTCGGTATCCGAGATTGACCGGCGGCATGGATGCCATGGATATAGCGCAGAGAGAGCTTCAGACAAAGCTTCGCGATCGCGATACAAAGCTTAACCAGAGCTTCGTAGAGAGAGCTTCAAACAAAGCTTCGCGATCGCGATAGCGACGAACCCGAGATCGACCGGCGCCATGGATGTAGCGCAGAGTGAGAGAGAGGGAGAGAGAGAGAAAGAGAGAAAGAGCGAACGATGGAGAGAGAGAGAGAGAAGAGAGAGATCTCTGTTTCTTCACAGGAGCAAAGGACACGTCGCCGGAAATCGCCAGAGCTTCATCAAACAGACACAAATGAGAGATTTTTTGATTTATATACATGGTACCTTTGTAATTATTTAAAATTGTGAGGGGCATGTAATTATTTAAAATTGTGAGGGGCATTTAAGTCATTTTGCCCCTCAAATTAGAGCTGCCCGATTAAGCTGTTTTGGGAAGCACCTCCTCCCCCACTCAACCAAAAAGCTCAATTTTCACTTATAAAAAGCAATAATCTATCCCCATAGGCTACACCAAACACTCTAAAATCACCTCTTTTAAGCTATAAGTGGATTTAAGTTAAAAAAAAAGTTGTACCAAACAGCCCCAAAGCAACGGAAGAAGCTGAATGGTTTCACCATTTTATTGAAGATATTTCACGTTGGTCTAAACATGTGCCAGCTATTTGTATTCATTGTGATAGTCAATTTGCAATTAGTAGGGCACATAGTAATATGTATAATGGAAAGTCTAGACATATCTGTCGTAGACATAATTCCATACAACAACTACTCTCGAATGGAGTTGTGTCTATAGACTATGTAAAGTCTACGGACAACATTGCGGATCTGCTAACCAAAGGGTTAAATCGAGTGTTAGTCGAAACGTCGTCAAAAGGAATGGGGTTGAGGCCTTTGGAAGTTACTGGAATGGAAACCCAACCTAGTTGACTAGAGATCCCAAGATCCAGGTTCAATGGGACAACCTAATTGCGTGTAACGGTGGTATGCCATTGAGGAGGTTAAACCTCCAGCCATTCTTTTTATCAGTGATACCTGCAAGTGTAGAGGTTAAACTGAGCTTTTAATGACTCTAGTGTGTTAAGCTATTGAGCTAAGTATAGCAGGATACTAAAGTAGAGTCACCTATGTGAGATTGAAGTGGGGCCGTTTCTAGAAGAATTGGGCAGGCCAAGATTCTTTGAAACCACTCGTTGAACCAGGCTAGTGCCCAGAGCCATACAAGGCACACCAGTGAGAACAGAATGGTGGTAGGAGTAATTCCCGTGTGAGATCTATTGTCTCAGTTTACATAAACGGCAAAACAGTTCAAGATGTCATATTCACTGATCAACCAGTAAACTCGATAGGTTTTCACTAGGAGAGGTTCAAAGCCAAAAACTACATTCTCTGATATCGGGGTTAGTTCGTTGTACTTTCTCTCCGAGTCATTATTGTTGAACGGTGTCCGTTTGTTGAGTCATTCGGTCAATTTTTATTCGTGTGGGGGATTGTTGGAAAAAAATAGTTTCTCTGTGACTTTAATTAAATATTAAAGTAGGTCCCAACCATCTATTGTGTTGGGTCTAAGTGGGCTAAAAAACATTGAGATTTGAATAAGAAGTTGCCAAGAAATTGCCTCATGATGTTAGATTCATGAATGGGATTTTAAAGGGTATTTATATCTTTTTTCTTGGCTAAAGGGTGTGAATCCTTTGGGCATCCAAACTTTTCAACTTTTTGAAAAAGGTCTATGGATGCTGGTTAATGGTGCTTTAATGACCAACCTTAAAGGCTGCAGGCTCTTCTTCTCTCCCCTATATATATATAAATTGAGACCCTCCTGTCAAGTCTCAATGTAGAAATTTTTGCTTCCATTTTACAAGTCATTTTGCTAGAAAGTTCCTATAGTGAGAGAGTACTGCCACAGTTTTTGTTCGCTAAGCTAGACAGAAAGTGCTTCTGCCGTAGCTGGTTTGTGACCGTCATATCATGGGAGACAGACGCCGGGATTTCTCAAGCACTCGACCCATGAGGCTGCAAAATCTGTTTTAAAAAAACTGCTACCATGCAGGCTTCGGTTTGGTTTCTTTACCATTTTATTGTATTGTGTATTTCTGTTGTAATTTAGTTGTAATTATCAGCATATGTTCATGGTATATAATTTTAATTTTTTCATAAATCTATTTATTTAATTTCACAATTTGGACAACATTTTATGCTATGTCCGGTGAGTTAAGCACTATTTGTGATCTTTGAAAGATAACTGATTACTGACTTGATCGTCGGAATGCCTCCGAGTGGACGAACCACTGCCAGATTCTTATCTTTCTGTAGCAGGTTGTTCGGCTTAATCTATTCTGCCGGTACTCTCCTGCTGAGTTTCCCTATTTGGTTGTGTGGTCAAAAATTAACACTCACAATATATATATATATATATATATATATATATCAAATTTTTACTGAAATGTCGCTTAGAGACTTGGT